AAAAAAAAAAAAAAAAAAGAAAGATATGTATATATCTCTTCCTAGTTGTCACTTCTCTGTGGCCTATTCACTGTGCTCAAAGATAATCCATCATTCCTGTAGTAAAGTGACTTTCCACCGATGTGTTGTGGCACACTGATGTGCTATGAGAAGGTCTTAGGTATGCCAAGAAAAGTTTTAAAGATCATTAATTAAGTTATTTTTGAAAGAAGTTCAAAGCACAGCAAGTGTATTCTTTTTCTTTTCTTTTCTTTTCTTTTTTTTTTTTTTGAGACAGAGTCTCACTATATTGCCCTTGGTAGAGTGCTGTGGCGTCACAGCTCAAAGTAACCTAAAACTCTTGGGCTTAAGCGATTCTTTTGCTTTAGCCTCCCAAGTAGCTGGGACTACAGGCACTCATCACAACGTCCGGCTATTTTGTTGTTGTTGTTGCAGTTGTCATTGATGTTTTTTTAGCTGGCTCGGGCCAGGTTCGAACCCACCAGCCTCGGAGCCCTATTCACTGAGCTGTGGGCACCACCTCTACCCTTAGTTTTTGCTGCTCCCTATCCTATACGGTGTGTTGAACTACTTCTCCTTATTTATCATCTTAGGAGCGGCCTTTGTTCACAGTGTTCCCTGACCTGCTTAATAGCTCTGACACTCAGCCTGGTCCTCCCTGAAACCATCAGACTGTGCTAGGTGCTGTCTTCTGTGCTCTTGTGACCCCTCAGGCATGCTGTTACAGCAGTAATTATACTTTGCTGTAAATGTCCCACTTCAGTTCCTTTAACTAGACTTGGCTGCTTGAGAGTAAGGATATAAGCTTTATTCAGATTTTCATCTTCAGGGCTTGGTACAGAAACAGGTATATAAGTATTAAGTAATGGTTTATTAAAATAGAAAAAGGCAATCCAAATCTATAACATCAAGATAATTATCAACTTACCAGCTGTTTCCTCAGAAACAAAAGAATGTTATCCCAGAATCTCTACTCTGGGAATGACTGTTGGTACTTTTGAGAAATCAGTTTTGACCAGTTGTACAAAAGGATGCTTTGTGTGTCCAGTGATTTTTTTTTTTTTTTTTGGAAACAGAGCCTCATGCTGTCGCCCTGGGTAGAGTGCCGTAGTGTCACAGCTCACAGCAACCTTCAACTCCTGGGCTCAAGCGAGTCTCCTCCCTCCAGCTCCCAAGTAGCTGGGATTACAGGCACCCACCACAACACCTGGCTATTTTTTGGTTGCAGCCGTCATTGTTGTTTGGTGGGCCCAGGATGGATTTGAACCCCCCAGCTCAGGTGTATGTGGCTGGCACCTTAGGCGTTTGAGCCACAGGCGCCGAGCTAGTGTCCAGTGATTGATTGTATGATCTGATTACCTCAAGAAATGGTAGAAACTGAGAATTAAACAAATTAATACTTTAGATCAGTGGTTTTTAATCTTGGCTGTGCATTTGAATCAGGAGAGAGCTTTAAACAAACAAAAAGCCAGAGTGCTGTTTATCATGCCTATAATCCTAGCACTCTGGGAGGCCAAGGCAGGGGAATTACTTGAGCTTAGGATTTTGAGGCCAGCCTGAACAAGAGTGAGAACCTGTCTCTACCAAAAATAGAAAAATTAGTTGAGTGTTGTGACAGATGGCTGTAGTCCCAGCTACTCCGGAGGCCGAGGCAAGAGTATTTCTTTGAGCCCAGGAATTTGAGGTTGCTGTGAGCTAGGCTGACGTCACGGCATTCTAGTTTGGGCAACAAAGTAAGACTCTGACTCAAAAACAAACAAAAAAGCCTGGTCTCTCTTTAGATAATTAAATCAGAATCTCTTGGTGTGAAACCCAGCTATCATTAGCCTGCAAACATACCTAACCATTCCAGTTTGCAGCCAAGGTTGAAAACAACTGGGTTTGATAAACATTTTAGTAAGCTACCTAGATGCAGTTGTTAGGGAAATTAGGATGAAATGAGATGTACTGCAAGGTATTTGTATTTTAAATCATAAAATGAGAGTCATCGCAATGGCCTCTAAATATCTACTTAAACTGGAGGAAATATAACAGTTTCATTTTTTTAATAAGATCATATTGAAAATTTATTAGTGACTAAAAATTGCCTGTCACCTTAGCTAGCCTGTTCTATTTTCTCTCACTTTGTAGCCCTTGGTAGAGTGCCGTGGCATCTCAGCTCACAGCAACCTCAAACTCTTGGGAATAAGTGATTCTCTTGCCTCAGCATCTTAAGTAGCTGAGCCTAGGCACCCACCACAATGCCCCGGGGGTATTGGTCTGGCTCTTTTTTTAGAGAGGGGGTCTTGGTCTGGCTCAGTCTGGTCTTGAACGGGTGAGCTATTTTTTTAGAGAGGGGGTCTTGGTCTGGCTCAGTCTGGTCTTGAACGGGTGAGCTCAGGCAGTCCACCTGTCTTGGCCTCCCAGAGCCTGTTCTATTTTCAGGTATGTCATTTGATTCACAGTGTCTCGTTATATTGACATGTAATCAACTTCTGTGTTACTCCACACATTTGTCCTAATTCTGTTCTGTCCAACAATGTATAATAAATATACCTCTTTCACAGGACCTGTACATGTGTGGAGACAGTCCTCTTGCTTTTCATAAGTAATTTCTTGTGTAGGCTGAACATTTGGTTACCTTAACCTTTGCTTATCTTGAAAAGTAAGTTCCAAAGAGGAGGGGCCTAAGTCTGAACGGCCACTATTCTATTCTTAGCCATTGGAATAGTATTTGACATATTGTGAGCACTCAGTTAATGTCTTTAACTAATGTCTCAGTTAAAAGAGAATGAATATAAAACTATAGCCATTCATTTTACTTCTTTTATGCAGCTAGCTATAACAATCTGACTCCTTAAAATGAACCTTATATCCCTTTGATAATGTACACACAAAGTATGTAGAGCATCTACTTAAGTATCTTGATTCCCTCATGTAGTATGTTCACTGACTTCATTGTCAGCTAAACTTTTAATGGATCTTTACTCATACTAATGAGGAAAGGATTAAAAAAGAAGGTAAGAAAAAAAAAAGAAGGTAAGGACAGAGAGACCTCTCTCCATATAGACATGGCCCCTTGGTCAGCTAGTTGTAGTTCTCTCTTGCTGTACTTTTGTTTAGTCCATGGTGCTGCTTTTTTTTTTTTTTTTCATGGTGCTTCTTGTATTTAGTGGCTGTGAGTGCTAAGAGGAAGAAACACTAAGCCTTCCAGGGAGGAATTAGGGAATGACACAAAAAGAGATGATGCTTGATATTGCAGGATGGCTAGGGTTTTGCAAAGACATGAGAAAGAGGAGAACATTTCTGGCATACAATAACACAGCTAAATATGGTGAAGCAATTCAAGTGGTTCAGCATGGTTATGGCATGATAGTATGTTGGCTAGTGAGGGAGAAATGGGCCTGGTCACAGAAGATTCTAAGTCTGTTCCAAAGACTTGGTCCATTTTTCTGTAAGTACTGAGAGACCAGAAGGGAGTTTTACTCAGGGAGTGAAACTTTTGTGTTTTATAAAGATGAGGCTGTTGTGGACACTCACTGAAGTGGGAGAGACCAAAGACAGAGAAGCCAAATAGGAGGTCTCCAGGTCAAAAAACTTGATAACATCCAAAATATTAATGATTGACTTTAAGGAAGTCACGTATTTGCAAGTCATTGCTTAGCTGTGCTTATTGTGTTTAAGATAAAATGATGGGGCTTGGCATCTGTGGCTCAAATGGCTAAGGTGCCAGCCACATACACCTGAGCTGGCAAGTTTGAATCCAGCCCGGGCCCGCCAAACAACAATGATGCTGCAACCAAAAAATAGCCGGGCTTTGTGGCAGGCACCTGTAATCCCAGCTACTTGGGAGGCGAAGACAGGAGAATCGCTTGAGCCCAGGAGTTGGAGGTTGCTGTGAGCTGTGATGCCATGACACTGTACCCAGGGTGACAGCTTGAGGCTCTGTCTCAAAAAAAAAAAAGATAAAACGATGTAATGAATAGTCTTGTAGTAATTTCTTATAGGAAAACTAATTGAAAAGGTATACCTGTGTAAAGCATATTTTACCAGATTGACTTGTTATAGATCGCTCCCAGAATTGGTCTTAAACCTTCATAATTATGTGAATTATTTTTTCTCTTTTGTGACATATTACTTATAATGAGATTTATGTTTTTATATTTTCTTAGTAATATTTTTCCAATGCTTAAAAAAAATTACGAGGGCCTAAATTAAGGCCTTGGAAGTAGGACTCAAAGAAGTAATCAATGGGGGAGACATTTAGGAAGAGGCATTTACAGATTATAGTGACTGATTGGATGTTAAAAGGCCAATTTAGAAAAGCACTTGTGTTCCTGGGTCACTAAATGTCTTTTTTTTAGGTTACCAAATAATTCTTACCGTGTGTCAGGGACTGTTCTATGTTTTACAGATACTAACATACGTAATTCTCAGACTAACCATTTCAGGTAGGTACTATTTTATTTTTATTGTACAGATGAGACTGGATTACTAAGAAGTTAGACAAAGTAGGTTGTTAGTAATAGAGGAAGGACTTGAACCCAGGCAATCTGGCTGCAGATTCCTTGCTCTTAACCACAGCTGGAAATATACACTTGAGCTTAGAGAAAGAAGGCAGGATGGAAGACAGGAAGGTAAATTCATTCTAGCCAAAACACATAGCCCTGTTGTGTACCATACAATGGGATACACAAAGGGCGTAAAGCAAATAGATGTGCTCTGAATCCTCAGAGTTTCCAGAGGGTCACTGAAAAGGGATACTTTCAGAAAAGGCATAGGACACAATCAAGGAAACGTACATTTAAGCTAAGCATATATTTCAAAGCCATTAGAGAAGATTAAGAACTACTAAGATTGAGGAAAACTAGGTGAGGAAGAACGCAAAGCAAATAAAGAGCTTTAAGAACAATTGAGACCAACAGTATCCTCTTCAGTGGATGTCATCGATAAGAACCATTTTACTGGTGTGAGGCAAAAGCCATATTACTTTTATTTATGATAACATTCATAAAATTGAAAAGGAAACCCTTAAACCTCTGGAAGACAAAGAGATTAAGCAATATGAAAGAACAAAGTACAAAAGAAATGTAAATGTATATGAAATAGACAAAATTGGTATTCAAAAAAATGGAAAGATCTGGCTCTTGCTTATAATCTGAGCTACTTGGGAGGCTTGAGTCTGGATTTCAAGACCAGCCTGGGCAACATAGCAAGACCTGATCTCTAAAAAAAATTTTTTTTTTAATTATCCAGGTAGCTGGCTCAGTGCCTGTAGCACAGTGGTTATAGCATCAGCCACATACACAGTGGCTGGCAGGTTCGAACCCAGCCCAGGCCAGCTAAACAACAACGACAACTGCAATAACAATAAAAAAATAGCTAAGCATTGTGGTGGGCACCTGTAGTCTCACCTACTTGGGAGACTCAGGCAAGAGAATCACTTAAGCCAAGAGTTTGAGGTTGCTGTGAGCTTTGATGCTACAGCACTCTACCAAGGGCGACATACTGCAATTTTGTCTCCAAAAAAAAAAAATTATCCAGGTAGGGTGGTGTGAGCCTATAGTTCCACCTACTTATGAGGCTGAGGCAGGAGGATTGCTTTAGCCCTGGAGTTTGAGGCTACAGTAACCCTGGGCTAGAGAGTGAGACTTTATCTTTAAAAATTAGTTATTATATATAAAGCTAAAATGGAAATTAAAATATCTAAATTTAGGCTCAGTGCCTGTAGCTCAATGGCCAGGGTGCTGGCCACATACACCAGAGCTGGCAGGTTCGAACCTGGCCTGGGCCTGCCAAGCAACAATGACCACTACAACAAAATAGTATCAGGGTGTTGTGGCAGGTGCCTGTAGTCTTAGCTACATGGGAGGCTGAGGCAAGAGAATCACTTAAGCTCAAGGGTTTGAGGTTGTTGTGAGCTGTGACACCATGGCACTCTACCAAGGGCAATACAGTGAGACTCTGTCTTAAAAAAAAAAAAAGTATGTATGTGTATGTGTGTGTATATATATATATTTAAAATAAATTAAGGCTCGGCGCCTATAGCTCAACCGGCTAAGGCGCCAGCCACGTACACCTAAGGTGGTGGGTTCGAATCCCCAGCCCGGACCTGCCAAAACAACAATGACGGCTGCAACCAAAAAATAGCCGGGCGTTGTGGTGGACGCCTGTGGTCCCAGCTTCTTGGGAGGCGGAGGCAGCTTGAGCCCAGGAGTGGGAGGTTGCTGTGAGCTGTAATGCCACAACACTCTACCAAGGGGGACAGCTTGAGGCTCTGTCTCAAAAACAAACAAACAAACAAACAAAAAACAAACAAAAAATAAAATAAAATAAAATAAAATAAAATAAATTAAAAGTGCAATGTTACTTCTGTTTCCAGCTAAGATGGAGTAAGAGGGAGTGGATTAACCTTCCTGACTGAGCAGTAGCAACAATGAAACAGACAAAATACAGGAAACTGATTGTTTAAGATCTTGGATATCAAGCAACAAATGACAGTGATTCCTGAGAGATGGGAAACCAATGAGGTAAGCCCTCTAATTGTCTCAGTTTATTGCTTTGAGAGGGTTTCCAGGTTACAATAGAGGAAGAAGGAACTGAGGTGGGCCCAACAGACTCCTTGAATCAAGGATACAGAGGTAAGACTATGGGGAGAACAAAGTAAAGTTCATAGGACAGAATACCAGAGAGAAGAGAGTCTAACAGAGAGAGAACCCTGAAGATCTGCAAAGGGTCTCCCTCAGGTATTCAACAGAGCAGGAAATAAACTGAGCCAGGAAAGAGTCTTCTAAAGGATTAAAAGGAACAATAACCTGATATTCATCCAGGGCTGAGAATAGTGCCTATTCCTACCAGCCAGACTAGAAAACTCTTCTCATTGCTGGAGCACGAGGTAGATCTTGTCTGCCCAGTCAGAGCCTATCAAGAAGGGCCTTCAGTGATAAGGGATAATTATCTCTATACTAAACACTGATAAGTCCACCTCACATATTGTAAAAGATAGACCTGAAGGATCAAGCTGTTTCCAAGTAACTTAATGGTGTCTTTTTTTTTTTTTTTTGAGACAAAGTCTCAGTCTGTTGCCCTCGGTAGAGTGCTGTGGCATCACAGCTCACAGCAACCTCCAGCTCCTGGGCTTAGGCGATTCTCTTGCTTCACCCTCCCAAGCAACTGGGACCACATGTGCCCATAGCAATGCCTGGCCACCCCTTTGCTGCAGTTTGGCCAGGGCTGGTCTCGAACCTGCCACCCTCAGTATATGGGGCCAGTGCCCTACTCACTGAGCTACAGGCACTGCCCACCTAATGGTGTCTTAAAACCAAGGTCAAAAATATTTATACAAATACAAAAAATATCCAGTATCAAATATGACAAAATTTATAATATCTTACATCCAAAGATCGTCAAACATGCAAAGAGATAGAAAAACATGGTTCACAATGAGGACAATAAGTAATGATTCAAACCAATCCCAGACTTACACAGATATTAGAATTAGTAGGGGACAGAACAGTAAAAGATTTATAACTGTATTTCATATTGTCAATAAGGTAAGTACAGAAATAGAATTTATATAAAGAACCAAATTGAGATTTTAGATAGAAAACTACATTTTCTGAAATGAAAATATACCAGATTAACAACAGATTAAACTTGTAGAAGAAAAGATGAGTGAAGTTGAAGGCATGGCAATAAAACCATCTAAGATGAAATGTAGAGGAGGGGAAAAAAGAAAAAAAAAACCGAAAAGTTTTAGTGAGCAACTTCAAGCAACCTACTCTATGAGTAACGAGACTCTCTGAAGAACAGAGGACAAGAGAGATGGGAAAAAAATATATGGAGAAATAATGACTAAATACATCAAAACTTAGGCTTGGCACCTGTAGCTCAGCAGCTAGGGTGCCAGCCACACACACCAGAGCTGGCAGGTTGGAATCCAGCCCAGGCCTGCCAAACAACAATGATAATGATAACTACAACCAAAAAATAGCCAAGCATTGTGTTGCGTGCCTATAGTCCCAGCTACTTGGGAGACTGAGGCAAGAGAATCACTTAAGCCCAAGAGTTTGAGGTTGCTGTGAGCTGTGATGCCATAGCACTCTACCCAGGACAACAGAGTGAGACTCTGTCTCAAAGAAAACAACTTAACTATACATTCTCAGACCCAAGAAACTTAAGGAATCTTGAACACAAGAAACATGAAGAAAAGAAGGCCAAGGAAAATAATAACCAAGTTACTCCAAATAAGAGAAAATCTTAAAAGCAAAAAGAGGGAAAATGCATGTTATATACAGAGGAACAAAAGCTGACATCAGATTTCTTCTTTTTTTTTTTT